AATACTGTAAAAATGGCCATTCTCCCAAAACTGTAATACAGATTTAATGCAATCCCAATCAAAATACCACTAGCATACCTCATTGATCTAGAGAAATCATTCCTTAAATTCATCTGGAACCAGAAAAGACCTAGAATAGCAAAAGCAATTCTGAGTAATGAAAGCAAGGCAGGAAGCATCACCATCCCTGACTTGAAGTTAAACTATAAAGCTACTGTAATAAAGTCAACATACTACTGGAATAAAAATAGACCTGAAGATCAGTGGAATAGATTAGAAGGTACAACTACAACTACAAACACACTCAGCCACCTTATCTTTGATAAAGGGGCCAAACATGTTCACTGGAAAAAAGATAGTCTCTTTAATATATGGTGCTGTAGAAACTTGCTCTTCATATGCTGAAAACTAAAACTAGACCCACACCTATAAGATCTAAATATTAAAACAGAAACACTAAATCTGCAGAAAGACAAAGTAGGTAGAAATCTTGAAGACATAGGAGTAGGTGGAGAATTCATGAACAAAAATCAGACCACCCAAGAAATACTTCCCAGAACTGATAACTGGAATCTCATTGTATTAAAAAGTTTTTGCATGTCGAAAGAAATCTCCAACAGAGTAAAAAGGAAACCCATGAATTTTGAAAAAGTCTTGGTCAGCTGTCCCTCAGACAAAGGGCTTCTGTCTAGAGCATATAAAGAATTTTTTAAAAAATCAGATTCTTGAAATTCAAAGACCCAATCCAAAACTGGACATCTGAGATGAATACACAGTTCTCAAATAAAGAAATACAAATGGCAAATAAATACATGAAAAAATATTCAGCGTCATTGGTCATTAGAGAAATGCAAATTCAAACAGCACTGAGATTCCATCTCACTCTAGAAATAATGGCCAGGGTGAAGAAAACTACCAACAACAAATGCTGAAGAAGCTGTGGGGGGAAAAGGAACTTCTGCACTGTTGGTGGGAGAGTAGGCTGGTACAACCACTGTGGAGGTCAGTCTGGAAGTTCTTCAAAAAGCTGAGATTGGAAGTCCCTTTTGACCCAGCTATTCCACTTCTGGACATAGTCACAGAAGAATTGAAACCATCATATCACAATGATATATGTGCACCCATGTTTATACCAGCACAATTTGTAATCACCAGATATTGGGAACAACCTAAATGCCCATCAACTGAGGAATGGATTAAAAAGATGTGGTATTTTTATACAATGTAGTATACTCAGCTATAAAGTATGATAACATTGAGATATTTATAAGTAAATGGATGCAACTTGAGACCATACTCATAAGTGAAATAAACTCACGTGTATAAATATGGTATTGTCTCCCTTGTGTAAGAAATGGTAGAGTACATAAAATACAAAATCCTCAATAAATACAGTGAAAGGGTAAGAATCTGCTCAAAGAGGGAAAAAAAATAACATCTCAGGAGAAAGGAGGAAAAAGAAAAAGGATGACAAGAATATCTAAATTTGTATAAACACAGGATAGCTAAGATGATTGTGCTACAAATACTGTAAGTTCATGGAACAAAACAGTTAACATTCATAGGACTGGAACAATTTTGCATGTTTGTGTCTGGTGATCTGAGGAACTCTTGAAGATCACTACATAAAATAACAACTTTAGTTATGTTTCTACCTTTTTGAAGGCCTATACCTGTCATTGTTTTGGGCTCTTTGTTACTGTTACTTGTCTTTTTTGTTTCTCATTTTTCTAGTAATCTGTTTTGTTTTCCCCTCTAATACAGAAAGGATAAGTATCATGTAGTGACTTATACATGCATAGTACTTCTCCTAAATAGTTTACAAGAATCGATTATATTATGTGTGATGAAATGGATGGCTACTTTGAAGAAAAAGAGACATTATGGTATCCATTGCTGATTCTGTATCCTCATGCTGTGAAATCCAGAAATACTTTTATTCTTTGTTCAGAATGGTTTTAGTCTGTTTTGTATTGTTTAATTTCAACATACATGAAGGTATGGACAGCTATTTTGAAGAGAACAAGAGACATTATTGCAGCCATTGGTGATTTTCCTATTGTCTGGTTGTGATGGCCTGCAATGCCTTCATTACTCCATTCTGATCAGTTTTACACTTTTTTGTTTTGTATGAATTCATTGTCTGTGAAAACAGGGACAACTACTTAGAAGAAAACAAGAGACATTATGGTAGCCACTATAGATCTCCTGTTGTCTTGCTTTGAAATCTGTGTCATTTACTTTGTTTTCTTCTGATCTGCTTTGTTCTGTTTTGTTATGTTTATTTTACCCTCTTTAAAATTAAATTTAAAAAAGTTTGAAGATATGCTACAGTGACTATATTAACCTGGAGTTTGCATGACCCATCTTTAGGGGGCTTAACTCCATGCTGGCAATACTAGTCCTTTATCATCATTTCTTTTTTTAGTTGCTCTTACTAAGTTAACTTGCTCTTACTAAGTTGAACAGACTGGGCTCGGATTAGCAATCTCCCAACTTCAGACTCCAAAGTAGCTAGGATTACAGGTGTGTCCCACCATATCTATCTCATTCATATAACTGGCCCTAAACTTTTGAATTTAAGCTTAAATATTTTCTGTCTGGCTGTCTGTCTATCTGAGAAGCTCTTTATAAATTATCCCTGTTACTGTTGTCTTCATAGCATGTATGCATATATATAAATGGGATAAATGTATACATATTTCTGTCTCTGTGTTAGATTGTGAGCCATGTGCAGGCAAGGACTACATGTGGTTTGTATGTGCCTGGTATATACTTGATGAATGATGATGGTGCCTCCCAGTTTCCAATTTATGTAGTTGACCATACCTACTTTCAAAGTAGAATGTTTTTAGTAGTGCATTTGCCCCATATTCTCTTTATTTTTAGTTTCAGTGTACACATAATTGGTATGCTTTTCTTGAAAATATTAAGTTCATCAGCAAGCTTTCATGGAACATGCAAGGCATTGTGCCTAAATGCAGGAGAATACAAATGTGAATAATGTATGGTTCTTATCTCTAAAGAGGAATAGAAACATTTGTAAACAGATTTATTTCATACAAAGCAGAGGGTAATAATTGTATAAGCAATATTCTGTAAAACCAGTGGGGGGGAATGATTCATTTTAATTATAGAAGGGTCTCGTAGAATTGCATTTCCACTGTATATTAAGGATAGAATCAGAGAACTTGAGTTATCACAAATGAATAAGTATCTGTCTTCACTTAAGTTACTGAAGTATTGGTATTGACCCCAAAGGACCCTTTACAAAGCATCATCATAAACCATTCTTTTAAAATCCCACTAATAAATAAAAGTACTCTGGCCTTAAAAATTACACTTCTAAAATTGAGGCTAACCATAAAGTTACTTTGACTGCTTTGACTAGATTGGTAGTTCTAAACCAGTAGTTAAATCATTATTCAGTCTAGTAATTGAATTCTAACTTATTGCTGTTATGGGTAACTAAATTTTGAATAAATGAATCAATTAAGACAAAACCATGATGGTAAAAACAAAATTATTGTTTAACAAGTGATTTTGAGCCACTGATATGTGATTCTCCAATTATATCACAAATTAAAATGCAGGCTGTTTTCAGTGGCTTAATCATAATATTTAAGATTCTTTTTTAAGTTTGGTTTCCTACAACTAGTTTTCCTAAGTAGTATGGATCTTCTACTTTTGTGGGGAGGAGGGGGCGCAGTGTGTGAAAAGCATACCATAGATTCGTAGAACTAATTTCAATTTGGCCACTTAATAATCCCAGTTCTGGACATTCCAATATTGTTACTCCAGATAAAATATAACCTCCCAAAGGTGCAATTTCAGCTAAAAAAACGAAAATATCTACTAATCCCACTTGTGTCCTTCTTAATTTTGCATCAAGATGATCATATGGTTTTTGTACTCCTTCTATGTACTCCTTGTATTTATTATGTAATTATATCATTAGGCAAATTCTTAACTTATTTTGTGACCTGAGGCAAATTATCTACCCTTTCCTTTGTCTCATCTTTCTGCATACAAAATACAATTACCTTTAATGAGATAACATGTAAAAGTGTGTCACAGCTACTAAACACCCACAGCAAATGATGGTTTTCTCTTACCTCTTCCACCTCATTTCAATCCTCCATATCTTTTAAAGTTTGCTTTTATTTATTTACTTACTTACTTATTTTGTCTTTTTGAGACAGGGTCTCACAATGCAGTTCAGACTAGCTTTGAGCTCACTTTGTAGCCCATGCTGGTCTCAAATGTGCAACAATCCACCTGTCTTAGCCCCTCAAGTGCCGGGATTATAGGACTGTGCCACCACACCCAGATAGAATTTGCTTTTAGTTCTATTTACTGTGTAATCTTTTTGTTGCTAGTTTCTGACAATCTCTTTTCCAGTATTCTTGAACTTGACATTTATACCCCAAGTTCTTAAGTATAGATCACCATTATGTTGTGAACTTGTTAAAAGTGTAGTTCTTTGGGTCCCATTCATGTTTCCATGAATATAGATGGACCTGAGCATCTGTATTTTTTTCTCCTTCAGATTTTCAAATGTTTACTATCAGTCATAATATCAGTCACTATCAGTCATAGTCACCTATTCATGAATGACTATGTACTCCTTGTATTTATTATGTAATTATATCACTAGGCAAATCCTTCAAGTTTTGTTTTATACTTCAAAAGTGAAAATAGATCTTTAAAAAATAGGAATTTTTTAAAGCTGTAAGCTGTTCCTCCATCTTACTCATGCTGAAAGTATAATACCACATCTCATCTCTGAATCCAAAGAGATTTCAATACTTCCTCCCCTCTAAATTTATCTAAAGTTTAGCTAAATTTACATGTAAATATTTCCTGATGTTTGTCCTATCTCCTTCTATGTAAATTTGAGTACTTCTGTGTGGTAGGGATGCAGGAGTTTAACTGTTTTAAATTGTGAATAAACCCATTTTCCTATTTCTTATGAGCTTTCATCATACTCTTGCTTACAGGTGAAAAGATGACTGCAAAGAGCTAGGGCTCAGTCTCAGGCCTGACTGACCAACCACAACACAAGAACAATATACTACAGATTCCATGATAATGCAAAATATTTAGCTTAAAGGTTGGTATCTCCCTTTTTTGTCTGCCTAAGTTTAGATCCCATTAAGTGAAAGATTGAAATGTAAATTTTTTAAAAAGTTATTTAGAAAATGTGTGTGTTGGTTACATTTCTCTCATTGCTGAGACAAAATACCTGACACCCAAAATTAAGAAGGAAAGAATTATTAAACGCACAGTTTGTGGAGGTTTCAGTCCCTAATTAACTGGTTCCAAGGCAAGGTGGTGCCTGACAGAGAAGCAATAGTTCATGGTTGCTGGAAAATAGCAAAAGGAATAAGCGCAAAAAGCAAGGAACACAAGAGAAAACTCTTTCTATCTCTTATATTGTATGTAAGCTACTTTCCCTAGGGTGGGTGTAGCATTCATACCTATAATCCTAGCATTGGACTATGAATTAATCATAAATTCAAGAAGCATGCCCCCATGACTACATGAGGCTCTGGGGGGATAGCCAAATGCAAACCATAACATTGTAGCTGAGATTTGCAGCAATAATAAACTTACTTGCTTATCACTGAGACACAATATACAACATCCACAACTTCAATGAAGAAAGGTTTACTTGGGCTCACAGTTTGTGGAGGTTTCAGTCCATAGTTGGCTGACTCCAGGTAGAGTATCATGGCAAAGGCATATGGCATAGCAGCAAATCAAATAAGCTTATGGCACAACAGATACAAATCAGAGAGAGAGGGATCAAGGAAGGAGGGAGAGTGATTTACATGCTTTGGGGCCAAACCCTCAGCAACCCACTTCCTTCAACCAGGCTTTACGTCCCAATATAATATTTAGCTACAAACATACACAACATATGCAAATATGTAATTATGCACATATTTGTATTACAGTAAAATATAATACTGTTTTACAAATATGCATTACAATAATAGTATACTGTATTAACACAGCTGAAAACAAAAACCATATGATCATCTTGATGCAGAAAAAGTATTTGACAAAGTCCAACACCCATACATAATAAAAACCCTACAGAAAATTGGAATAGAAAGTCTTTATCCCAATCTGATGAAAGTCATCTATGACAGACTAACAGCCAACATCATACTAAATGGACAAACATTGAAAGCTTTCACTCTAATCCCAGCCTTTGGGAGACTGAGGCAGGAGGATTGTTGCAAATTCGAGATTGGGCTGCAAAGTGAGCTCAAAGTCAACCTGAACTGCATAGTGAGACCCTGTCTCAAAAAGACAATAATAATAATAATACATAAAAAGCTTTCACTCTAAAATCAGTAACAGGACAAAGAGGTCCACTGTCACCAATCTTAGTATAATTCTGGAAACATTAGCCAGGGCAATTAGACAAGAGAGAGAAAAGGAATAAAGATAAGAAAGGAAGAAGTTAAATTATTATTTGTGCATGACATGATATGGTACATTGAAGACCCCAAAAATTCCACCAAAAGACTTCTAGATTAAAAATCAAATTCAGTAGCTGTCTTCGTTATTTTTCTCTTGTTGCTGAGAAAAAATACTCAACCCTCAAAGTTAAGGAAGAAAGATTTATATACATCACAGTTGGTAGAGGTTTTATCCATATCAGCTGGCACATGACAGAGGGGCAACAATTCATAGAGGCTGTGGCAGCAGAAGACAAAGTGAGAGCAAAAGGAGAAGACCAAGCCTCTTTTCCTCCCTTATATTGTATGCAGGTTGCCCACTGTACAGTGGGTGTAGCACTCATACCCCCAATACCAGCATTAGACAATGAACCAATCACAAACTATAGATTCAGCTCCCTCTTAAAAGCCCACCCCCATGACCACATAAGGCTTTAGGGAAACACTCAGACACAAACCATAACAGTAATATAGCTGTATATAACATCAACACTCAAAAATCAATAGCATTCCCCTACATGTATAACAAAATCACTAAGAGAAACTATGGAAACAACACCTCCACAATAACATCCCAAAGAATGAAAGACCAAGGAATCAATCTAATGAAGGAAGTAAAAGACCTTTACATTGAAACCTCCAGTACCTTGAAAAAAAGAGATCAAAGAGGATATAAGAAAATGGAAAGATGTCTCTTGTTCTTAGGTAGGAAGAGTCAAAATAGTAAAAATGGCCATACTTCCAAAATTGTTACACAGATTTAATGCAATCTCAGTCAATATTCCTATAGCATACTTCACAAAATTAGAGAAAATAACCTTAAAATTTATTTGAAACCAGAAGAGAACTAGAATAGCAAAAACAATTCTTGGCAACAAAGTCAAGGCAAGGGACATCACCATCCCTGACTTGAAATTATACTACAAAGCTACTGTGATTAAAAAACAAAATAAACCCATCATGGTACTGGCAAAAACGGACCCGACAGTTAATGAAACAGATTAGAAAACCCTAACATACTCAACCACCTTATCTTTGATAAAGAGGTACCAAACACCTTCACTGGAAGAAAGACAGCTTCTTTAATAAATGGTGCTGGAAAAACTGATTTTCCACATGCTAACGATTAAAACTAGTCGCATATCTTTCACTATTCATTAAAATAAGATCAAAGTGGGTCAAATACCTAAATGTTTAGACAGAAACACTAAATCTACTGAAAGATAAAATAGGTAAAACTCTTGAAGACATAGGTGTGGCGAAAGACTTCATGAACAAAACCCTGACTCTATGGGAAAGTTCTACCAAGGATCAACAACTGCAATCTCATCTTACTAAAAAGCTTTTGCACTGAAAATCTCACAAAGTGAAGAGGCAACCCTCAGTGTGGGAAGAAACTTTTGCCAGTTGTACCTCAGAAAAGGACTAATATCTAAACCCTATAAAAACAAAGATTAGACCCCCAAATTTAAAGACTCAATCCAAAAACAGGCATTTGAGATGAATACACACTTCTCAGATGATGAAGTAGAAATAGCAAATAAATATATGAAAAAATGTCCCACCTCATTGGTCATTCGAGAGATACAAATTAAAACAACACTGAGATTCCATCATAACCCATAAATAATGACTTACCAAGAAGACAACAAGTAACAAATGCTGACAGGGCTGCTCCACTGCTGGTTAGAGTGGAGACTGGTGCAATCACTGTGGAAACCAGTGTGGAGATTCCTCATGAAACTATAAAAGTAGAAATTCCCCTTCTTGGTATTTTCCCAAAATAATTAAAAGCATCATAACACAGCAACACATGAACAACTATGTTCATAGTGCATAGTTCATAATAGCCAAATCTTAGAAACAGCCCAGATGCCAAAGATGTGATCTTTTTTAATACAATGAAGAACTACTATGCTGTAAAGGTGGACAAGCTTGAGACAGTTCTAGGTAAATGGATGCACCGTGAAACCCTGTCTTAGGTAAAAGTCAGACATACATCTTCAAAACTGAAAGTATAAATAAGGACCAGAATGGATAATGGATAATGAGAAATGGAAAGAAATGTTCAAATGATAAGGGGAACAAGAAGGGAGGAGGAAGAAAGGAAAGTAAGGACAAGAAAAGAAATTAAGGGAAAATGGAAACAAGGTTTTGTAAATAAAGAGGGGAAAAGGGTTTGAAGGCAGGGGAAGGGGATGGGAAAAAAAAGATACATTACGTATAGGTACAGACTCCCTATGATGAATGTTATTGCTATGCATATCTAAAATTTAGGGCTGGGGATGTAATTTAGTGGCTCAAGTGCCTTCTTGGCAAGCGCAAGGTCATGAGTTTGATCCCAGGCTTTATCTCCCAACATAACATTAAGCTATAAACTCATTCACTGACGAGTTTTGTGGGACATATAAACCATAACAGGTTTCCTAGTACTTACATATAAGTCATAACAGGCTTCTTCCTAAACACTTCAGAAATTTAAACCTAATTTTACTCTATGTAAAGGAATAGAACTCCATCCCACACCCAAATTTACTCTGTGACAGAGAACAAACTGGAAAAAATGCCTTTCTACTTGCCAGATCCCAGATGGAAAGCGGGAAGGAAGTGGCTGAAGTTTATACTTTCTTCAGCGTAACATTTCGGTACCTATATGTGTAGGTACACAATATAGGTTTCAGTACCTATATTGTGTAAAATGAGATCAGGGTAATTGGCATTTGTATCACCTGAGACATATGTCATTTCCTTGTGTTGGGAATATTTAAAATCCTAATAGCTATTTTGAAATATTGTCAGTTGCAGTCAATTATTGTTATTGTTCTGAACTGTATAACACTGGAATTTATTCCTCCCATCCAACTGCACACATATCCTCTCTCCGTCTCTTTCTCTCCCATACACTTTCCATAGTGGTGGATTTTTTTAAGACTGTGCATTAGAATTCTATGATATTTTTAAAACCTAAGTAAAGATACAACTTAAGTCAGTATATATTGTTGTATTAGTTATCTTTGCTGTGTAACAGATTACTCCAAGATAGTTTAAAACAATAAGCATTTACTATTTTACAGTTTCTGATGGTCAGAAATCTGGGAGTGGCTTAACTGGAGGGTTCCAGTTTAGCGTGTCTCATGGTTATGTCATCTGAAGGCTGCTTGAGTGTCCTTACAACATGGCAACTGGCTCCTTACCCTCACCCCCAGCAATTGACCTGAGATGAACGACTGTACATTGAAGTCTGGATTCCACAATTATTTTACATGTTTTGCTTTCTACTTCACAGAAAAAGTGAAATATTCCTTTCAGATTATTAAAATATTAATGGTAGCTTTATGATATAGTTGTATTTTATATATATTGCATATAATAGCTTATTTGGAGAATAGACTGAGTTTATTCACAGGATGATTTCTGCTACCAGCTGATCCTTCCTGTTTAGCTCTGTGTCTAAGTCAATAGCATACATAATATGATCAAGTACTGTTCTCTAGATGTTCTCCCAGATTGTCAGTGAAAGTTCAGATGCTCAGTCTGTAGACTTACGATAATATCGACAATTTTGATTTTGTATGAATTAATGTTACTTCTGGTCTCATGGAAGGAACCATAAAGTCTTAGTTCGATGTTCTGATTTCTT